TTATTAGTGATGATAAATTACTTCACAAAATGGGTGGAGACAGTATCATATGCAAATGTAACACGATCTGTGATTTGTAGGTTCATAAAAAGAGAGTTCATCTGTAGATATAGACTTCTAAAGAGAATTATTTTAGACAATGCCAAAAATCTAAATAGTAAAATGATGTAAAAAATATATGCCTAATACAAGATCAAGCATCATAACTCAGCACCATATCGTTCGAAAATGAATGGGGCAGTTGAGGCAACTAACAAGAATATCAAAAAAATTCTTGAAAAGATGACTAAAACGTATAAAGATTGACATAAGAAGTTACCATTTGCACTGCATGCATATCAAACATCAGTGCGAACCTCTACTGGGGTAATCTTATTTTTTTTTGTTTATAAAATGAAAGCTGTACTGCCAGTAGAAGTGAAGATCCTATCTTTGAGAGTTCTAAAAGAAGTTGAATTGGTAGAGGTTGAATAGATTTGAGAAAACTATGAACAGTTAAATTTCATAGAAGAAAAGAGATTGACAGCACTGTGCCATGGTCAACTATATTAAAGATGAATGATAAAGGCTCATGACAAAAATGTCCGACCTCGTTGTTTTCAAGAGGGATAGTTGGTCTTGAAAAGAATTCTTCCAAATTAGCATGATAATAAAAGGAAATAGACTTCGAATTGGGAAGAGCCATATGTGGTGAAATGGGCTTTCTCAGGTGGAGCATTGATACTAGTTGAGATTGATGGAAATGATTTATCCCATCCTGTAAATTCTGATGTTGTGAAGAAGTACTATGCTTAAAAAAAATAAAATAATAAAAAAAATGAAAAATAAAAAATGAAAAATGAAAAAAAAAAGAGGACTCAAGGCGAAAACCCCAAGAAGGCAGTTTGAGTCATAGGGGATTTATCTAAGTTGAAAACCTAAAAAGACAGCTTAGATAGGGAAGATACAACATCAAATCTGAAAGTTCATTGGCATGAAAGCTAGCAAATTCGAAGAAGCTCTAAGTTGTTAAATGCATTAGATGGTTGGATTTTCAGAAAAACCTTGAGATGTGTTATCATGATTGTCCGATTGTTCATTTTTGGGCATTGTCTCCCTATGCTTATTTTTGTAATTCTTTCTTGGCCAAAGTTTGCTAACATTTTTGCTAATAAAAGAATTCTACTTCACTCTTTATGTGCCTTTTCTGTTGACTATTTCCTAACCATTCATATTCTTTTCTCCTTAATACCTTACAATGGAAGAAATGTGCAAATGTATTCTTACTTTTTGAGTTTAAAATAATGATTGATAAATGAATAATGGCATGAAAGATTTTTACATTACATTGAAGAAGTCAAGAGTGATAAAGATAGAATTGAGATGTTCAGTTCTTGATAAAGACAGTAAATTTGGAAAGAGATTTTTTATAGAAAGAATGTGAGAATTAAATAGAAAAGATGATTGAGAGTTACACTGGCTCGATCTTAGAAGAATAGCGTAACTTGGTTTTTGAAGAATCAAAAGTTTGAGGCTAAAAAAAAGAGCTTGAAAAACTTGAGTACCATAATTAAATGAGAATTAATTAGCCAGCATTTGCATAGCATGCATTGAATTTTGCACGCACTGCATTTCACATAGCATATACTGCATCCAAGAAAGCATAGTACATAAAAAGCAAGGGTATTCTAAGATCCCACATGGAGAAGGCAGATATGAAGAAATTTTGATTTTCCAATTCTCGTTCGAAAAAAGCTTGTGAGGTAAGTCCCTAATCTTTGAAAAAGGATATCTCTTGGCATCCTGATTGATTTGTAAGACCTTTAAGCATAATCTCCTGAAATTCCTTCAAACATGATCTTTGGCTCCTTTAGACATGATTGTCAATGAGCAATTTATTTTTTCAAAATTGTGGTGCCTCTGTTTAGAGGAGCAATTTACTTTTCAAAAGTTCTGTTGCCCCTGTTTAGAGGAGCAATTTATTTTTTCAAAAGTAGTTATGTTGCCTCTATTTAGATGAGCAATTTATTTTTACAAAGTCGTTGAGCCTCTGTTTAGAGGAGCTTAATCAAAATTTCAACCAAAAAAAAAAAATAAAAAAAAAAAAGAAAAGAGTCGAGTGGAGCCTTGAATGGGTGTCTACGTCTTTGCACAATTTTTGTCTCACAAAAAAATGTGCAAAGAATGGCAGTTGTAGATACCCAATTTGGTTGAGGCCCGGATCAATTAGGTTTGGTCCAAATGGGTAAGCCCATTTTGTATTGTTATTTTATATCTTATTTATTTATTTATTGCTATTATTATTATTATTTATTAATATATATATTTTATCTATTAATATATTTTATCATTTATCTATTAATATATATTATTATTTATCTATTAATGTATATAAATTTTTATTATTAACTATTATCTATTTTTATTATTTATCTATTAGTATATATATATATATTTTTTATTGATATTTTTTATTTTTTATTTATCTATTAATATTTTTTTTTGCTGTGATTAGAAGATGTTGATAAAAAAAGTTGGAATTTTATCGTGAATTTTGGATTTAATCAGAGTCTGGATTGGATTCAAAGATTGAATCTCAATCCAAGAGGGAATTAGGATTGATCAAAAACTCTTCTGATCAATCCCTATAAATAGATCCACAGAGAACACACAGAAGGACACACGGAGAGGAAACAAAAGCTAAAAGTGTTCTGGTGCGTTAGAAATAATTTTAGGAATTTGTGGAAATTTTTAGAATTTTTGAAGTTTTTTTTTTTTGAACAATTTCTGAAAAATTTCCAGAATTTGGTGAATTTTTCAATGACATTTGAATTTTTCGACGACTTTTTCGATCAAATTTAAAGTTTCGGTAAGTTTTGCCAGATTCCAGCAGAGTTTCAACCAAAATCTAGGTTCGAGTAAAGAGAAGGATGAGGAAAAGAAGTGAAGAGAGAGAAGGAATGGAGGATCTTATGAAAAAACGAAGGTATTTGCCTTTTATACCCTGTTAAAATGACGTCATTTTGGTAAACTCAGAGGATCCGCGCGTTTCTATTTGGATGACCCGATCCGCATCACAACCCGCTTTTGACCCGAGTTCGATTGCACCTTAATCATCAAGTCGAGCCAAGCCGAACCACTTGAGCCGCACCAAGCCTAGCCATATTCTGTCTCTCAAACCGAGCCGAGCCAATCCCAACCGCTCAAGCCGTGCCGCATTAAGGTTTTTATTTATTTATTTATTTATTATTATTATTATTATTTATTTATTAGAATAGAATTATTTGGTATTTTCTATTTTATTTTTATTTTATTTTTTATGATTTTTCCAAAATAAAATTCCAAAAAAACAAAAAAATATATTCTTGAAGAAAAGTTGAAAGTATCAATTTTCCTTAAAGATAAAATTTTCAAAAAATATTTTTGGAAAAAAGTTGAAAGTATCAATTTTCCTTAAAATAAAAGCTTTCAATTTTTTTGAAAAAAAAGATTTATATCGAAAGTTGAATCACTATTCCTTTTTCTTATTTTTTTTTCCTTTTCTTGAATTTTTTTCTAATATTAAATAATCTGACGATGGAGCCTCTGCAAGTGAAACAATGTTCTCTTTTCATACTCTTGAGGTGAGAATTTTTTCAATTTTTTGCTAAAAGTATTAGAGTCAATTGAGAATAATTTTCAATAATTAATTACTTGGTAAATTTTTAAGGTTTATTGGATAACACAAAATTAAGCTGATACTATTTTTTGATTGGCGTTGTGAGGGTGCTATAACCTTCCTTACACGTAACCGTACTCCCAAATCTTGTTCTGGTCAACAGACCTGAACCTATTCTTTTAGGGACTCTTAAGTTTAGATGTTGCTTGAGATGATAGATTCTTTAGGTGATCAATCGCACCTAAATAAAAAAATATTAGTGGTGATTTTTTAAGTTAATGTCTAGCGATAGATCCTCAGATTTAAACGTTATGACAATCTATATTCTCACATCATGCCAAAAGGAAGCAAAATGTTGAATGGAAATCAACCCAATTTTCTTGTAAGGACCATTTCTTTTTTTAGTTTTTTTCTTTTGACTGTCGAAATCACCCCACCCTTGGTGCAAAAGATTAAGAAGGAAAAAGAACTTATTAAACAACTTGCTTTTTGGAAGAAAGAAATATGTTTCAGCTTTTCAATCATGGGTGTTATTCAAATGGTTAATCTGCGAAGGCCATGGATAAACATGCACCGTCAAATAAAAATTTACGGTAAGCAAGGGCTCGATCAATGCAAATTAAGGACTTAAATTACATTCTACAAACAAAATTTTTTACTAGACACTGCATGTTTAAGTTCATTGATTTCATTTTTAAGTCCATCTATCATAATTACTAGACACTGCATGTTTAAGTCCATTGATAATTAAACAAAATTTGCTTAAAAATTATAAGCAAATTTTTTTCACTACACACTGCATGTTTAAGTCCATTGATAATTAAAAAATTATGTAATTTAGGTCTTTTTTCAATGTAATTAAATTATTGATAATTATAATTGGGTGAAAAACCCCAAACCTAAATTACCATCTGTCAATTTGATTTCATTTGACACTATTCAGATGTTCTACATTCAGATACATTATCTGTATCTTCTAAAAAGTGTTGCAAGCACTACTTTAACACTGGACTATAGACCACTTAGGTGCGGCACCATAGGCATCCGCTGGTGTCCTGCTTTGATAGCCGCTAGTGCCAAGTGGGCAAAACCCTTATCTACTGATGAAATCATCAAGCTGACGCAAGATATTGAAAACTTTCTTCTGACCTCGCCGCCATGGCCCATTTGTTCCTTTCACTCACCTGTAACCACCTCATTCTGGGTCCAATTAACGACCCAATAATTTGTTTGAAACCCTTGTATTCATGTAACTTTGCCACTTTTCCATCCCTTGTCATGTCTCAGTCGATATTAAATTTTTGGATTCTGAACTCCAACAGGCGTTTTTTTTTTTTTTTTTTGGCTCTCTCTCTGCCTTAGCCTATATGTATCCCTTAATCTTTGAAATGTTTCTCCTATGACCAATGACCATACTCACCGTGAAATACCATATTCAAAGAGAAGAATATCAAGAATCTCATACATGGATTCTTCATATTTCGAATGCCCATATTCTCAATTCTCTGCTGAATCATCTTCTTCCTATGTTTCTCAAGAAAATTTGTCGCTAGAATCGTTCAATTATTACCAAGCCCTTCCTTTCAATGAAAATGATTCTCAGGAGATGCTTCTCCTGGGAGTCCTAAACCAAGCTCCGGTAAGCTCCTTTAATAATAACTCTAGAGATGATGAAGTAAGCTCAAAAGCTAATGAAGGGGAGTCTACCAGGGAGGTTTCTTACAGAGGAGTTAGGAGAAGGCCTTGGGGAAAATATGCAGCTGAAATAAGGGATTCAACAAGGAATGGTGTTAGAGTTTGGCTTGGAACCTTTGACACAGCTGAGGCTGCAGCTTTAGCCTATGATCAAGCAGCATTGGCAATGCGAGGTTCCAAGGCTATACTCAATTTTCCAAAGGACAAAGTCTATGAATCGTTTCAAGAAATGAACTATAGATTTGAAGAAGGGTGTTCACCTGTTTTAACAATGAAAAAAAGGCACTCCTTGAAGAGCAAAATGGGGATGATGAAGAAGGTCAAGAAAGATAAAAAGGAAATTATGAGGATGGAAAATGTGGTGGTGTTGGAGGATCTAGGAACTGATTACTTGGAAGAACTTCTTAGCATTTCCGAGAGTTCTACTCTCTGGTAAATTATTTGAGAATTCCTTCCATTAATCATTCTTTGTCTATCTTTTTCAATATACAAAAGCGTCATAGTTTGAAAATAGTACCAAGATCTAGACTCAGGCATCATTTTTTAAAAATAATTATATAAATCAACTTAATCAAGTTTTTAAATTATAGTTGAGTATGATGAAGGGTTTTCTTTTTTCTTTCTTTCTCCTTACTGTTTAGAAATCAAGGAAAATGACTTTTTCCTCTTGGATGATTGTCTGTTGTAAATGTTGAATATGATGAAGGATTAAAGTTTTCTTGTGCGACATAGAATTTTATTTGTCAACTTGTGCAAGTTGACAATATAATTATTTGCTAGCTTCACTTTCATGTTCCATTAAAATGGAACTTGATATTGACAATATTGTCTCATCAGTTATCGATTCATTGCATTTTAAAACCGAAACTACATTTAATGTATTTTATAGCTGATTTGATTTGTCTAGATATAAATTATATATCTTTGTCAATTTCTTTTCTGTAGCAAACCAACAAACTGCAGTATAAACAACACTCAACATACCTTGACGGTTTAGTCCCCACTATGTTTTTCAGATGGAAAAATGATGCTCTTGCATCTCATCTTTCATATATTGCAAGAAATCTATGAAAATATTAAGATTCAATATGAAACCTCCCTCTTTTTAAGGAAGGATACAAATAGAATAATCTAAATTGTTAAACATATTATAGGAAAAAAAATTACTTTCAATTGCTTGAAAAGAGAGTCAAAGCAAGAAATAGAAACATGTAATTAAAGAAAATTTCTTACTCTTACTCATTTTCTTTGTTCATAACGAGAATCGTTATGTATAACAGAGTTTTTTGATATCACAATTTCTTTTTAAGAGATTTAAGATATTAATCTCATTCAAGTGTATATAACAATTCAATCCCAAAAAAAAAAAAAAATTTGATGAAATATTCAGTCAAATAATACTGTTGGGTAGTAATTTATAATAAATAAAACAAAGAAATTGGTTTATAATAAATAAAACAAAGAAATTGGTTTATAATAAACAAAACAAAGAAATTGGTTAAGTTAAAAGAAACTATAGCCAAATAAAACACAAAAGTAAAGGGAACAACCTCGTTTGTTTGCATTTATCCCCAATCTCCCATATGGGGGCCAGGGCCATGCCAGCCTCTATGCGCACATGAGAAGAAAAAAGAAAAGGCCAAAATGGAGAAAAAAGTAAGCATAAGTAATGCCACTTGCTTTATGTTTGAAATGCATTGGGTAATCAAAATGATAGCTATGATCATTTTTTACCTTTTAGTTCCTTATCTTTGTATGGATTTGAAGTTCTTTTAGTTTTTACTACATTGGGTGGGAGAAAATGTTGAAGATTGAAGCCATCGGAGATTCCAATTTCAGCGCTTCTTTCTGATGGATCAGTCCAATCGATACTCTCATTGGGTCATAAATGAGAGGCATGTAATCTGGGCTTTCCTCCTCGGGTCTTCATCTAAGTAAAATGGGTTGGGATTTCCTTAATTCAATCCAAAAGCCCTAATGGAACGAAATTGAAGTCAACCACGGGTGGGAAAGGCAAATTAACCATTTTAGATTAATTAAATTTTATTTTAATGTTAGATTTAGAAAAAAAATTAGGTTAATCCTAAATTGTTGTCTTTTTATGACTGAAAACCATAATACTATACGTTCAGAATGTCGTGAGACTTTCAAAGTTTTATTAATATTTTTCCTTTACATTTTCCTTTTATTTTCCTTCCTATTTTCCCTTTAACCAAACAGAAAAATAGATTCCAAGATTTTATTTTTTTCCCTACTATATATTTTCCCTCGTACAAAACAAGGCATGTCTTCACCCAAATAGGAAAGTTTCCTTCACAAATATATGTCTATAAACAATGAGGTATACGAGGCAAAACAAATCAATTATACTAATAAAGAAATAAACCTCTTTTTTTTTTAATAGCCTATATATTGCACTTATTTAAGGATAAAAACAAGATTTCAGTAAAAACAAAAAAGGGGTTGAGATATATGGTAGTACAAATCAAAAGCAGTGTATAATTTATACATATAGATCAATCGTGGTGATCAACGGCATAGCCATCTCGATTAGTTTTACTATCTTGAGTTAGAGGGTTGGCTTTGGGGCTTGGTGGTGGTGACAGTGAAGGCCGGTCTGGAAGAGGAGGAGAAGCTGTAGGAGTTAGGTTCTCAAAGCTAGCTAAACCTCTGGAGGCCTCGACCATGGGAATGCCATTTGAGAAAATTGTATTTCCCAGCGTCAACATGATCAATACAAGAGAATATGAAATGGTAGCCATTTCGGACTCCTTAATCAAAGGTTTTTTTTTTTTTTCGGTTGGATTCTTTGCATACGAATATGTTCATTATATAGGGACCAAAGTTCTTGACCCAATGGCTACGTAATCAAAGTCAAGGTCGCCTGGAAACTCAGTAAAAATGGTCCCCAATATTGGAGGAATCGATCCAGGAAGTTTCCGTCTCTACACTGAATAATTATAACGTTAAAGAAGCGTCAAGTGTGAATCTAAATAACGTTTGTCAACTTGTTTTATATCTTTTCTAGAAATACGAAGAATGGAAAATTATCTATATTCAGAATTCGGAGTTTAGTGTTTAAGTAAATTTTTATAGTAATGATGTCTATTTAATAATTTTTAATATAAAAAAGTAAAAACAAAATAAAAATAATATGAATTAAATATAAAAATGCTTTGATGGTAGGTATTTATCATTCTTCAAACAAATGTGCTTTGAAGAAAACATGAAACCTAGTGTTCAGGTAGTTTCAAAGATGTGGACGGTTGGGGAAAGAAGAAAAATTTTTGAGTTATATATTCTTCGACTATATTTTCGATGAGAGAAGAGTCAAGGGGACAATGAGATTGGTTCCAATAATATTAAAAATAATAATAATTATTATTAAACTATGATTAAAAAAATTGCTATAATTATGATTAAAAAAATCATTAAAAAATTTATATTAAATGAATCCTATTGAAATTTATATTTAAATTTAATTATAATACAATAAATTTAATTGTATCGTTTTGAAAGGATAATAAAATCTAAACCTCCATTAAATTTAGATTTAGAATAAAAAATAGCTTTTGCTTACTTAGAGTATTATTATTTCAAATAGAAAATTAACTAATTTTAAAGAATACCCTAACATACACGTTAGCAAAATCTATAAAAATATAACACCAGGAGGTGAAAGAAAAAAAATTAATAAATAAAGACAAAAGGTAGATGTGTCCATGGACTTGACCACCCATAAATTGCGCGGCCATGATAGATTGAACCGTGTCGTCGTATGCCCTCTGATTGCCATCCATAGGCACAATTGAGATATTTGAGACTAATTATATAATACCCATCTTACCATTCGATTATGGGTTAATGTTAAATTTTGTTATTATATTTCAGTTTTCTGAATTTTACTAATGTAGTTTTAATTTTATTAAATTTAGACATAAATCATAAAAATGATAGAAATTGGCCCTTTAATTTAATGAAGTATTCTGTAAAACATTTTAATTTTATTATTGTTATTTTTAAATTGATGAAATTAAAATTACAACGATAAAATTTATCATTTGTATTAATAAAATATTTTACGAAATACTTCAATTTCATTATTTTTATCCCAAATTTAATAAAATTAAAAATACAAAGACAAATTCAACAAAAATGAAAGTACAACACAGAATTCGATATTGATTCATAGCACGATAATAGAATTATCTTTTTATCTGAATAGTTGAAAAGTCTACAAAGTTAAAGGATAAAAAGTAAAGGAGGAAGAGAAAACAGAGAAAAGCAATATCAGGAATAGTGGACTAAAATAAACAAGCCAGGCCATTTAAGTGGTTCACTTCCGTAAACACACACGACAAACAAATTAATCGATAAAATCTTGGAAGCAAAAGATCGTTTAAGTAGAATTCTGTTGCCGAGCTCTTTCGTAATTTCTGTTGATCATTTAAGAAATAATAGCAGAGGAATAGCTATTAGCTACGTCAAACTTCGAGATAAAATATAGCTTTTTATTTTCTAATTTTTTAACAGAAGCAAGCTATGTTGACATTGGTGGTTGCGCTGGTGGTGGTCTTGAGAATGGCTGCGGAAGAGATGGAGGAAACGGAATCTGGGGTGATCTGGGGTGATTAATACGATTACTAGGATTATGCGGAGATGTTGGTGTTTTGCGTGGCTGTGGCTCGGGCTGAACCCAACGATGTGGAGTAGGTGGAAGTGGTGGTGGTATGCCTTGTTTCAGCCTTCTGGATACAGCCTCGAATTTAGAAGGAAAATCGAAGGAAGGATTGTATTTGTCAGCAGAAGAAGGACCCGAAATAGCCTCAATGGCGTGGATTAGGTGACTGTTATGTGTAGACACCGATTTTGTCCGAATCTACTGTCTTCATTTTCAATTTAATATTAATAATAATTTTAATAATAATAATAATAATAATAATAATAATTAAAAGAAGAAGAAGAAGAGAAAGATCAAAAAAAAAAAAGGGCTGGAAAATGGTAGCGTCGTCACCCTAGCAGCTCCATTTAGCCACCAAATCAGTCCCATCAGACCAACCACGCTTATGACTTTCGTTACCCCTACAACCACGCACTACAGACACTTACAGTCACACCTACAGACTTCTAGACCACCTTCTTGAACATACGTCCGATTCTATAAAGACCCTAGCTTCCTCCCTTTTCAAAGGAGGATCTATTCACAAAAACCCTAACTCATTTCGTAAAAAAAAAAAAACCTCTCAGACACAAAAGCTAAAAACGCAAACAACCCCAACACCAAAATAGAAAAACCAAACCAAAAACTAAAAAAAAAAAAAAATAACACAGTCCTCCCCGTAAAGAGGAACCCAATGCCAAAGAAGATACTTGTAACAAGAAAAAATAACATTAGTTTTGGTTTTACAAAAAAAAAAAAAGAGAAGAGAATACCGAAAGCTTTGAGCCTCGATCTACGTCGATCAAGGTAGTTTCTGACAAAACGGGCACAAGATCTGAAAAGATCACGAGGAGGTGAACATTTTGGAAAGTTTTGTGTTTTTCGACCATCGACAGCGGTAGGTGCGACGGTCAACACAGTGGCACAGACGCTAGAGGT